AAAAAAAAAGAAGAAAAAAATAATATATACATAAATCAACTCAAGAATGACTGATTAATAGGTAAGGTACATCTGGCGTTACTTTCTGATATTGAGGTGTAGATTTCCCATGTTAGGATACACAACATCTGATTCCCGGTGTTGTGGATTCGTTTTAGGATAAAAGGATAATCTGAATCCCGGTCTTCTTTCCACTTAGGGCAAAGCAGACCCAGCATCCAGGGATGTTCCTTAGCACTAGGATGTACATCCACCTATCAATGTCGGTACCCTATACTAGGATATATAGATCTCTGGTCCAATGTGACTTCCCCATGTTAAATCAAAAAGTAATTTTACATGATGAAGGTACTTTGATTGCAAAACTCTGTAAAACAACATTAAATGTATTCACATATCCTGGGAAAATACAAGGTTGATTACTGCCTGACGAGCCTACTTGGACTCCACCTCGTATTCAGGGGAGCAAGTTCACCTTCCCACTTTATTGCTGAGAGTACCAAAAAGTGCTGAACTTTAGGAGCCAGCCAGCAAATAACTTCAGAATCGGATAACGCAAAAACTAGGCGACAAAGCTTTCCAAGGCTGGTGAATTTGTCATAGAGAAATACACAGTTCGTTAATGAGTCGATGTGTGAGAAAAAATGAAATTACATTAATGATCTCATCGAAGCATTGTTTATACTCACAAAGTAAACAAGAGACAAACACTGAAGACATAGGATAATTATTCGTCTCAAACTATATGCGGGTAACAAGGTACAGGCACTGCCACCTTGCACAAGCGATCTAAATCAAAATAAAACTATTCAAATTATATTCAAGGAATCAGTGGGTTACATAATTGAGATGTTGGGTCGTTCTTCCAGTACTAACCACCCTAACAATGAAGGGGTTACTAAGAGGTACAAACTTGATCCATCCGTTGAGTCATAAGCGTCCAAACACTGAATGTAAAGATGAAATTCTGATTTTTGTTTGTTTATTTTAGCTGAAAAGAATCTGAGCGAGATGGTCGAGAGGCACTTCCATTCTCCTTCTCCTAGCTGGTGAGGTGCTCAGGCATCAGTTCGCCTCCTTACTCGGCTGAAGAAGTGTAGGTGGCTAGATTCGCACTACCACACTCAACGGCTCTACTGTCTACTGCTTACTGGTCTTTAAGTGACCACATGATCATACTCAACTGTTGAAGTGTATGTAAGCCTGTGGCCGCCTGTCACCTCCACAGTAGCAGCTTGAAGTAGTGAGGGATAGTTTTTTTTTTACATCTCCGCAAAGAGTTGGTGGAGAATAAAATAATGGTAAGACATAATTCGCCACGAGTCCAAGGCCATCTGGTGAAGTGTAAGGCAATATTTGATTTTGCCACACCTCCAAAGCGATCTGGTAAAGCGTAGGGTAACATTACTCTCAATGTGCCACCTCACCAAAAGCCATCAAGTGGAGTGTTTGAGTAAGGTCACACTTACTCGTCCACATCCCCAAGGCCAGCTGCTACAGCATTATGAATAGGATAGCTATCACTTCCAAACCCCCACGACCAGCAAACTTGTGTTTATACCCAGTGCATAACTGTTCAGTTTTTTTTGTTTCAAACAGGAAACCCCTTTATGCGAATTCCTTTCATATAAGTGGTCATGTAAAAATGTTGAGTTACAGTACTAAAGACTAGCTTAACTTAGATGATATTACCCTATGCTGTAACGCTACAGCACGTCTACAGGGATTAACTAAGAGAAGGAATTAGTTGTCCCTATCCATTAGTCCTATCTGGTTACATGATAAAAGACAACAGCCATCTGTGAGGAGCTCGGAGAACGCCAGACCTTAAATGCACTGCAAAATAAAGTTCATCTTCTCTGTGTTATTTTTGAATAGGAAAATCAACTCACCTAACATCCTGATAAGGTCTAGAGTTGGAGATCTCATCACACTGGGAAAAGTTCGATGATATATTCCTATGACTAGTAAGAAAGATTGAACGAATAACTCGGTCAACTTCATGTGAAAAGAGGCTACAGACTCCAGAGTCAATCACAATTCTAAATAACATCATACTGAGTACAGGTAGTTCACTCATTCAACAGATTTGTGTATTATGCACGTACCGTACTTGTACTTCCGTTGCATAAACAGTCACCGAGATGGAGAACTACCTTAACTCATCAAGTTATTGTCATTATCTCTTAACACCTACAAAAGGGGATCAGTCCAAATTCCAAATGAACATAGATGCTAAGACTAAATGCGACCAAACCAGCTGTCTAGAGCCAAGGGTGGATAGCCAGTAAGGTTTATTTTCCTATTCACAACACAGAGAAAATTCCTCTTAGTGACATAGAATCCTAGGTACGAGACAGCTGATCAAACCACAACTCTAAGACAAAGACATGATTGATGATATGTACCTAATTCTAAAGTTATCCTTTAAACAACCAACAAAGCCATGTCTTCACAGATCATTTGGGAGATTTGTACACAAAACGAAGGCGATCTTTAACGATCTTCTAAACGTCTTCTTCCTCAGTAAGCAGAGGTCTCTTCCACGCTGGGCCCGAACTCTTACACGATACTTGAGGCCTGATCAACACTTGAGCGAATACTTTTGATAGCCGACTGGTAATTACACTAGTCATGAGCGGCAGTGCAAAGTGTACATAGTCGAAAGTTGTCAGGTCCAGTTGTCGGAGCAACTTGAGCTCCAAAGTTCAGTCACTTGCTTGGTCGTACAAGGTGCTGCCGCCTCCTCCCCTAGCAGGCGTAAGTCACTAGGAGCTTTCACTGCCCTCTCAAGGATTTACGAGAAAGAAACACCAGATAATTTGTCTGATTATCCAATACCGGGAAGTTTACGGCAACATCTACCTGTATCATCCAAGGGTCTATCATATATATGGAAAGACAGAGTTGTTTGAAGAATAAAAGACATCTCGATCACTTCTTCGGCAGATCCTGGGAAGATGTTGATATCTGCAATAGTTGTCGTCACGTCTGGTGAGAGTTGGTTGTAGTATCTGATTTTGACTCTTGTCGCTACTAAGTGCGTCCTGGCATATCTTTGGCACAGTGAGCCCCTCCCCTATAAAATATGGAGTGCCAGTCATGCGAAGTCCCGACGGCCCTTCCCAACTGGCCTCCATTATCCTAACATCTAACTCCATGATATGTATTGCAATATATATATAACACTTACAAAATAGTTTCTATATCCATCTTAACTACTGTTTCCAACAACTATAATGACTTCTATCAAAATTTCAGCAAGATGATAAAATACCAATTGACTGTTACTTCAATAATAGCACCCTGAAAGCATTACGTCATTATACTACCTAGAAGATTGCACAGTGTCATTCTGTCAACATGATCCCGGAGAGGTCAGCGCGTTTTCGTCGCCGCTGCCTGCCACCTCGGGCCCTCGCCGTCGACGATCAGGTAAGAGTCTTACGTCACACGTGGAATCCACTGATATGGCCTCGTTATACAGCTGCTGAAAGATATACTCAGGCTCTCTCTTAGTCACGTGCAAGACTTGAAGTAATGGCAGACCAATGCTCAGATCCAGGAGACGTGACCAGAGTCTGTGGGGTCCCTGTTCCCTGTGTGCAGAGTCCGGGCTTGGGGTCTTCGTTGTTGCTTTAAGGAAACGTACGGAACAGATCTCTACAACAACATGTCTTTTTTTTAAACTTTGATTGATAGGAGAATCTTTACTCTATAAAGATTCATATGAAAAGAATCTATTCTAAGACGTAGTCTAATATGGTTCAAAGTGACAAAATTTACCCTAGTGTTCACATCACAGCATTTGAATGATTGCTCGCATCCTCTCGCATAATACTGACGCCTATTGTGACCACGTTATAAAGAGGCTTAACAAATATTGCCACTATGAAACAAAATGTCCTTATCGCAATGAAAACAATTCTTTTTTAAATCTATACAACAAAATATCCATATTCTCAACATATTTTACATAGATACAATGGGAAATTAAGTATACAGGTTTACAATATAAACAAAGCAATCACCAATGTGGTACTCCTTCACCTTGTCTTTACTACAGGAGGAAGAGTCGCCGTAGTAACCATAATGACCACACATCATCCGGTTTTGTATTTCATGTCTACAATACACTTTTACTTGAAATACTAGAAGACTAGCATACGGGACTAGAGCAGACCTGTGGTGGTACGAGACCACGCTGAAGACTTACACATGAGAGAAACCATCTTTATTTTGAATGAGGTGAAGGCACCCATCTGCCGATGGAGTCGAGAATCACAACAACACAGGCCTTGGCTCGATCCTACGCGCGAGGTCCACTGCCCGCCTGCCCCGACACTTTCTCGAAAACCAGAAGACATTAACCCGTCAGCTGTCTGGATATCTAATCTCGGATCTAAGCTAGATTAATTAAATTACATCCGACAACTGATAGCGTTAAAGATGGCGGCGGGGGGAGGGGGAGATCATTATACCTTTCGGGAAAGAGATGAAGTTACAACGCCCCCGCAGTAGTCCTTCTTGTGTTGAGGAGTCGTTCAGTCAGTCTTTAAGTAAGGCGGTTGTGCTTGTGGTGATCTTGAGCCGACCTGAAGACTGCTTGCGGTGCTTTGATGGCTCTCGCAAGGGGGGGGGGGATGCCACCTTCGAAATCGAAGTCTCAGCCAAGTTTTTTTTTTCTTTCATCAAATTTGTGAAACTACGTATTGATGGAAATGATTCAGCGAGTATTTAGAAATTGAAACTAGGAATTTTTTCTCTGCTTCGTAAAAATATAATATTCTTTTTTATTAGTATTATTATGAAAATACGAGAAGCCATAATCCCATCAACCACATTGCAAAGATCGCATCCAACAGCAGTCAGCGTCGTTGAAAACTCGACTTTTTTTTACTTGTCTTTCTTCCTTCCTTTCTGTCTTGTTTCGTTTCATCCACGAGGTGTTACGGCCAACAGAGAGCTGTAGTCTCGCTTGTTGTGGTTGTGGTGGTGTGGTGTGGTTGGGGTGGAGGAGGTGTTGGAGGTGGAGGAGGTCGAGGTGGAGGAGGTGGAGAGGTGGAGGTGGTGTTGGGGGCTGGTGCAGGTGTGGGTTGGTTGGTCGGTCGGTCGGTGAGGCGGTCGGCGGAGGAGCCTCACTGCGTCGCCACCGCCTCCGACTGCCGCGTCGGGGGGGAGGCGCCGTTCATGAGGTCGCTGGCGCCCTCGGCCTCCTCGCCCGCGCCCACGCCGTT